GGGGGTCCACAAATTCACTGCTCAAAATTCTAGCATCCAGTATAATATGAAATTTTTTTTGGTGCGCAGAAGCAAGAAATCATGCAAGGATAGGACTGAACCAAACCCTTAAGAGATAAAACTAAAGCCTTATCATTTGTTAAGAGCATATTCCAAAAAATTTCCAGATTTTCAATAAATTGCCCTTCAAAAAATTGGCAATTGAAATTGGTAGTATACATTATTACATAGAATTACCTTACAAAATAAATATTTACTCACTGTTTTGATAACTAAAACATGCACTAACTCAAGCAGCACAGATAAAGTGCTTTATAAACACTCATTTTTATCCTATATATCTATCCGGCCTTTGACCCTTTTGTAATCTTCTAATGCTCTGAGACATTTGAAAAGCTACAAGAAATTTGGTGTGCTTGAATGGCCAAAGAGGAAAAGAAATATCATAACTAAAGCATCATCTACCTGACTTATACATGTATAGTACTGTCTCAAATTGCTTAGTGTGGTAAGAATTAGGCTAAGCTTAAAATAATAGAAGTTCACTTTTCATTTCCTTACATTTTTTCCTGTTAATTTCTTAGTACTCCTAAGTAAAGAATTATATATTTTAAAGTAAATCTTGCCTTGCTGTCAAACTGAGTAACTTATTTCAACTTTGATCATTATAAAAAAATGATTTTAAAATATTACTTACATATAAATAAGTAGTCTCTAAGATCAAACACAGTCTAAATATCCTAGAGATACTCTGGCTAGTGTTGTACATCATAACTTCATCTGAAATGAAATATCAGCAGAAGTGCGGAAAGGCATTTAAGGAATGCTCCATTTCAGTGAAGTAATATGTCAAAACGAACAATCGATTTGAGGAAAATATACATCTTTTGAAAGTGTTTTCAAATGGAATGTAAACATTGAACTCTGGACAGAGAGGATAACTTTCTACTTCTTTATAGACAAACAATTATTATGATAGCAAACTTGATTTTCATATGTAGAAGTTTGACCTCATTGCTCCTTTTGCTAACATTCGGAAGCTATGAACCAATATTCATCAATATGGGCCAAGAATAACAAATAGTATGCACTTAGTATTCTTAAAATTGAGAACAGAGAACAAGCATAATAAAATTAATCCATGCTCAATTTGAGATAGAGAAGCTTACTAAATCTCATCTCCAAATGCAGTAACAGGGGAAGTGAGTTTTTCCGAAAGATCAAAATAACTCACTCTGAAATAACTTTGGCAACTATGCGAGCTGCTTGGACTCACAACAAAAAATGGTCTTATACCATCATACACCAAACTTCAGTGTGACCACAACAGAATCTGTACAATTGTTTACTGGAGGAACATCCAGAACTAGACGTGCCATTTCATAATCCATTGGATGCACTAATAGACGTGAGAGAAAGGAAAGGAGTTTGAAGATGTGAGTTCTCAGAATAAGAATATTATGCAGAACTAGAGTTCCAAGTGCACAAGTGAGTTGAAAATTGTTGTTTGTCAAAAATAAAAAAAGCAGAAATTGAAGTAGAAAAAGAACGAAGTGAGGCATGCAATTGAAAATTTCCTCCTGCACTGGTGT